TGTGTGTGTGTGTGTGTGTGTGTGTGTGTGTGTGTGTGTGTGTGTGTAAATCCAAAAAGGTACACACAGATGAAAGGAACTAAAGGAAACCAGGGAGTTATGTCCTAATGCCAAACGTCAGGAGCAGGACTGTGCAGCGTGGCCATGGAAGAAGGTGATGCTCAGACCCAAGTAGCTTCCAACATTCAGTGTAAGGTCAGGAATCAAAAAGATTTCCAGAAAGTACATGTACTCGGAAGTTTATTCCTTTATCACATCTCCCTCTCCCTCCTTTCCTTTTCCTGTCTTGGGCGCGCTCGCTCTCTCTCTCTCTCTCTCTCCCCCTCCCACACACACACACACACAGCTTCCATCCCACCAAAAAAAAAAAAACAAAAACAAAAAAAAACCCCAAAGATATACACACACACAAATACATAAACCATACCAAACTACACAAAGACACAAAATACACATGATAGGAAACCCAGGCATGCCCACATAAAGGCAAGCATCATATATTTTCAAGGACACACTGACACTCACAAACATACCGATTACCTTCTCTTACCTATAACAGAATGGCCATAATTACGAGCAAAAGTACACACATGTCAAAACACTTTCTAACACAGGCTGTGATTCTCAGTCCAGCTGTCCCTGTCCCTCTCTGCACTGCTTCTGTCCCTCTATGCACTGCTTCTATAAGGTTCTGAAGATTAAACTGTTGGTAGCCAACTTCATATACATGCCTGTAAACAAGAGGGCTCAGCTTTAAATAATTATGTCAGAGAAATGACAACTGTGCTCTTTGCCAGTACAGGGATGAATAATTACAAAGCCAGGACATAATTAAGCAATTCTGACTGTTGGATTCTTGAACTGTCTGATATGTAGGGCTGGCATGTCCACCATGCACACCCTCTGGACAGGCCTCACATCCCTTTGATTTATGTTTCCTGATGCGGCAAGGGGGATCACGGTCTGGTCATCACAGAAGCCTTTCTTTGGGAGCCTCAACCTTCTCTGCACCTACCTTGGTCCTCTTGGCATCGACAATGGCATGATTCTGTGGTCAATATTTGCAAAAGACACATATTTTCTTTAAAATTCCAGGAAATGAACACAACCTAGCTGCTGTAGGTCCCTTAACTAATAACACACACACAAACATGCATGTACGCACATATACACACACCAGTCTAGAAGAGTCCATTGTAACATTAGCTATCATTTCCCTAATGAAGGATGGCATCCTTCTGTAGGACAATCAGAGCTCAGACAGGAAGCAGCTTTTAAACAACAAAAGCCAAAGGCAGCAAACAAAGGGGAAATGTGTCATAGTGAGAGAAGGCGAGCGAGAACTCGCACTCAGGTGCCAGGGCCTGCCAGGTACCAAATCAAACCTCTGTGACATAGAGGGTTTATTAGTTCCTGGACGATTTTGCATTTGCGTCAGCTGAGAACACCCAGACTGCCTGTTCCCTACCTCTAAGGCAAGGGCTGTGATTGGAGAGGCATTTTCCATTCTCCCAAATACTTTATGTCAGGAATAAAATGAAAACAGCTCCCCAAATCACGGCCTCCTTGATCATCCATCAGAGCATTCTGCTGAATAAGCACCACAGGCCGCTGCCGCCTGAGAAAGGACAGGAGCCAACTCGAGATTCCGATTCTCTTATGAAAAATAGGTCTTCACCAAGTGTGCTCAGCACAGTGTTGGCAAATCACAGGGAGGAAGTTGCTCTCCACTTAGAAGCCGACTCCGGGTGTACACATACCTCCCAGAACATACATATGTATACACACACAGAGATAGAAAGTGTATATACACACCTGCACAGGAACAAACATATGTCTGTGCACACTGTGAGCAGGCGAGAACCAGCCTTTTTAACACCAATTTATTAATTCAGCAAGAAGCTCATTTGGCCTCTATCTGCAAGAAAAGTACCCATGTGTTTCTCTGAAAACAGGCAAAAGGGGATTGCCTGGCATTCAAGAAGCATACAGTTTGATATGAAACCAGGAACACAGGGAAATCCTCTAGTGCACCTGAAGCATCACGGTGTATATACAGCACTTACCTAGAAGCCTAGACCCTGGGTTCTAATCCCAGGTCTGCCTGTGTTGGACTATGGGGGCCTTAGGAAACTACATCCTCACCCAGTTCCTTCACCACCAGGAAGGAGAACACACACCAGGTGATTTCTGAAGTCCCTCCAGTTTGGAAATCACGTAATTCTACAAAAAGGTAACAACTGAAGATCCCCGTGTTTTGTCAGAGTATTTTTGTCTCTTCTCAAATAACTAATGGGTATTTTTATGCTTAATACTGTTAGTAAAGATATTGGAGTCAATCACACAAACATAAGCTAATTCTATAATTGATTAGAAACTAATTTGGGACTTTGAAAAGCATTTCTACTGATGCTGCTAATGACTCAAAGAGTCAGCTACTACCGGATTTTAAGTAACCATTCCCACTTGGTTTCAAAGGCAGGGGAGGATTTCAGTCCCTGCAGCCCTCTTTACTCCAAGAGAACAGTTCAGCTTCCACCTGTTTTCTACCTTTAGGCCTTCTTATGAGCTTTTCATTTTGAACAAAGAAACACATGGGGAAAATGTCTGGCTCACTGCTCCAGAGCTAAGATCCGAGTAGAAGAACGTGGCTTGGTGGTCAGACACACCAGTAAAACTACGGTTCCCATGCTTACTGATCGGGCTGCCTAAGTGACACCTCTCGGCCTTAGTTACCTCACCTGTAGAATAAGCCAATGCTCCATTCCTCCTACATTGCAGTGTTCTGGAAGGACTCACAGATCTGTGTACAAAGAACCTTAGGACAGTGGTGAGCACACAATGAGCATCGCACACAAATATGGTGGCCATTATTTTTAGTATCCCTTCAGATCTTCTGTGATAATACAGAGCTTCCCCTGTCAAAAGCAAGGAGAGAAGGAGAAATACTGATCTATCCTATAAAGCGCATGTATATGTGAAGGTGGAAAATGTAGAATGGGTGGGAACCCAAGGTATTATAAACAGTCCACATGTTGTCCTTTGTTTGGTGATGTCAGCTGCCTCTGGAATCTTTTAAACCTCCCTCTCCCCGCAAAAAAAAAAAAAAAAAAAAAAAAAAAAAAAAAAAAGAAGAAAAAAAAAGGAGGCCAAGAAATAAATTATTTCATTTGGACAAAATTACAAAAGCTGGAATAACTAAAGGCAGTCATGAGCAATACATCAAATCTGTGCCTCGATAAGGAAAACTGTTAACACTTTAATAGCTACGAAACAAATCACTCAATTAATTTCCCACATGCTGAAACAGGTAACAATACATTTATCTGCCAGTATTATACCCTCCCTATCATATATTTCCACAACTGTTAGCAATTTTATTCAGCATAACAGGAAATAAGTTGCACCTCATGGGTTCAGGGAAAGAAAGTGGCCTGAGGTCTGCCGCCAGCTGAGCAACTTGATGGAAGAGGTTTCGTTTTTCTGTTTTGGTTCTGTTTGTTTTTTCCTCTTTCCCTCTTAATCATTTCCAATGCACGTGCAAAGTACTCCAAGTCAATAAGCGAGGACAAACTAGACCTCCAGGATTTCTGGGCCAGCGTTTTCAACACACAAGAGAGGGTCCAAAAAAGGAAGTAGCTAGGTAGCTCCATGGGGCCCCAGGGCACTGATGGACCTCCAAAGGGGTCATCAAGGATCGTCAGGTCCATTCCCCAGCCTTGGGCTTCGCAGGACCCCAACTCCTCCCAAAGAGATAATTTTCCACACCCTTAAAGACTTCCTTGAATCTGAAGCCAAGTCTCCCAGCCACATCTCCCCTGCCTCATCAATGCTGTCATTAAGATGACACCATAGTCACTTCCATGGCCTCCATGCAGACTCAGCTTATAAAGGAAAGGTCAGTAAAACTAATCCCATGAGCTCTGGAGAGCTACATGCAGGAAGCATACACTAGTCCAGGTCACACTGTCAGGAAAAATGGCCTTTCCCTCTAACAAGATCTCTGAGAGCTATTGAGCCCTCATACCTGAGGACAGAAGAAAATCACCCTTCCCTCCTGCTATGGCCCCAAGAAAAAAAGAGTTCTTAGTCACTAGAACAATCGTACCCACCCAAGAAAGATTAAATTCCCCAAGCTTTCCTCTCTTTCTTTTCTCAGCAACAGACCTCTAGAGGCCCTACCTTATAAATGAAACATCTTCAAGAAGAAGACCTCAAATATGCCCCCCAGAACATCACCATCAGGCTGCGTTATTGGTAAAAGACCCATCTGGGTGAAATCACCCTACAAGTAAGGTCCCTTTAGATTACAGGAAAATCAAATTTATTCCCAATCCTACTTGTTTGGCCAACAATATATCCATGGATAAACCCTAATAGGAGATCTCTCCTGAAATCTAAACACAGGACATCCTCTGCACTCAAAGAATAACCAGTGAGGCAAGACATAATTTCCTTGTGAAGACGAGAAAGTAGGCAGCTTACCTTGGGCTTCACCACCTTCATGAATGACCCTCTGACCAAAGCTTCCTCTCGTTCTTTTCTGGTTACTTTCCGGGCATCCAGAAACTTCAAATTGGGCAGTTTGTGCAGAACAAAGCATCTGAAAGAAAAGAGTCAGAGATAACTCAGGGGGGAGGTGATGCCCTCAAAGATCCATGCAATTTGTCTCATGCCCAGGAATCCACATCATTAAGTCTTCAGAAGGTTAGATCTTGGCTGCTGCTGCTTCTTTCTTTCATAATGAATGATCACCCTTTACAGAAATCCAAATAATTATATTTTACATAGATACACAACTAAGCCTTAAAAATGCACAGTAATGTTTGCTCTTGATTCAAAGGTAGACACAGACACACAGACACAGACACAGACACACACACAGACACACACACCTACCTAGATCAGCCAGGAAGATCCTAGTGATGTATTTCCCTTCCTCCATTCTGGAAATGGGCCCGGCTTCTTTGCTACACACAAAATTCTCAGTGAAACTAACCTTACAACCTAATTGTACCATTTATGTCACTGCCATTCCTGTGGGCCATCTGTGTAACTCTTATCTCTGAGATAAAAACAAATCTTCAATTTGAAATGGAAGCAAGAGACACTGACTGGCCATCCAGGACAATAAACTAGAATGCAGGTTGTAATAACATGGTTGACTTTGGGATAGAAGTAAGAAGCACATATAGCTAAGAAATGCTTCCTTAAAGAATCAAAAAGGGGTCTTGAGGATTTTTTCACCATCCCTGAGTTACTTCCACACTAGCACTATGAAGATTATCAAGCTGAAACAAGAAGAACTTGTTTATAGGGGATATTTATTTAATAGCCCAACAAATACTAATACAAATTCCCAAGGAAAGAGTCTTTGGTGTCCATCATGGCCTCCAAGGATAAGCTAATGACTATTTGTGTGATGAACTGTCCTCAAGCAGGTATATTTGGAATTGAGGAGAAGATCCATGTGGCCATGGGATAGGCATATAAACATATAAATAAATATATAAAAAATATAGACACCTGCTTATACCTCTCCTTCCTCAAGGAAAGTTACCAACCCACATGCTTTCCATCGAGCCCCTATACCTGATCACTCAAAGGAGCTATTGTTGTGGTCCCTGAGTGGCTTAGTTGGTTAAGCATCTGACTAATGATTTCAGCTAAGGTCACGATCTCATGGTCATGAGATTGAGCCCCAAGTCAGGCTCCATGCCCAGCATGGATTTTCTTTTTCCCTCTCCCTCTGCCCTTCCCTGCTCTGGCTTAACTCACTCTCTCTCTCTCTCTCTCTCTCTCAAACAAACAAACAAACAAATGAGCTATTGTTTAGACCTTGTCCTGCATAAGAAGAAGAGGTAAGTACCCAATTTCAAGAGCAATACATTACCTCCATAGGAATCTCTCATTTCCTTCCCATACCCAGCCTCCTCAGTATTCACTCATCTTTCAAATCCTGACCCATACAAACTTTTTTTGGGCATCTCTAGCCTGTACTGTTTTCTCTCTTCTCAGCACTCCCAGGATACACTGTTAGCACCATACCATCTAACATTTTGTTGTTTTGTAATCATTTTAATCATTTTATTGGTGTTTATGTGATGTCTTCTTAAAGGAGGGACTTTTTTTTTTTTTGCTAATCCTCTTATCTTAAAAAGTAGCATTGGAATGCACTCAATAAAATACCAATTTATTTCATTTGTACAAATATTTCTTGAGCATCTGGCATGTGCCAGACCCTAGGTATACAGAGGTAATTATAACATGATTCCTGCCCTTACAGGGGCTTTCAGTGTAATGGAGAAGAAAGACTCACATAGAGAAAAGAGAAATCAACATAGCTAAGTGCCAAGATCAGGGTTATGTGCAAAGTAGTTCTGGGAGCACAGAGAAAGGGACCAACCATTACTTACTGAATGACTGAAAACAAATGTCTTGAGGATGAAGAGGAGCAACAAGAAATCTCAAGGGATCTTCAAAGAACCAAATCCTAAAGCAACCCTACACATTGAGCTTTTTCTCAGAGCAAATGTTACCTGGGGTATAAAGCTTGCCCCCCACCCCTCAGATCCCACATTCATAAGACACTCTCACATCACCAAGTGGCCTCCATATACTTGCCCAGGTATAAGACTTGACTGGTTACTGAAATGCTAGAGAAAATAGCTTCGAGGCTTCCAGCCCAAATATTCCTTAAAGCGAAAATACTCTGAGTTCTTTTGAGGTATACTTTTCTTCCCCAGAAATGTCCACCCAAAACATCTGAGGTCCAGGATATTTGACTATATACTTCCTGCTTCTTCCCTGGTCTCAATCTAGTATCTTTGTTCCAACTTCTCCCTGAGCCTCACCCTTCCCTCTCCAAAAGCCCCCTAGCCTTATCCAAAATCAGAAAGTTTCCACAAAGTCCCAATGACCCTTCTATCCTCCAGTAGAAATCCGACTGGCCTCAGTCAGTGTCAGAGAAAACTTCCATCTTCTGCTTGTAGCAGCAAAGCCTTGATGACAACAGATTCTTTCAAATAAAGACATGTACAGACGGAAACAATATGTCAGGAGTGACGCTCAGAGGAGTAAAGACACCCACTAAGTGTAGGGTGGGAAAAGATGAATATTCAGGTGAAGAAAACATCAGTATTAGAAAATCAGCCAATGTTTAATGATGGAATGAAAGATGTCTTCACAGGGCTGGCAGGAACCATGATGACAACAGACAGCACGTTGTCATTTTGCCCCACTTTGGATCACAGCCCTGAAATCAAAGGAGAGAGAGAGCGAGCGAGGTGCTGGCTTTTAAGCTAGTTAAAAATTTTAGATGACAAAGAGCTGCTGTTTTCAGAGCACTCTTCTTGTACAATCGAAGAAACAGCCCATGAAATAGGCTGCCAGTCATCTATGAAAATAGGGGTGATTTGACTCCCATCCTGACCGCCAGCCTGGGGTTTCTAGGTGGTTGATGCCTGGAGAGGTTTGAGGGACACGAGCAAGTCTCACCCCAAGTAATTCGGCCTGAGACTCAGCCCAGGGTCTGAAGTTCCTGCCTTAGAGATGTCTTCATACATTCACTCACACAACAAATAATTATTGAGCTGCTAGCACCCACCACATACTGCATGAATAAAAGTGATGCACAAAACAGACAAGGTCCCTGCTCTCAAAGAGCTTCTATTCCAGAACAGCCATTCTCAAACTTAAAAGGGTATCAGCATCCCCTGGACGGCTTGTTGAAACACAGATCACAGGATCCCACCCCCAAAATTTCTAATTCCCTACGTCTGGAGTAGGGCCCAGAATGTACATTTCTAATAAGTTCCTAGAGGGGGTGGGGAAGCTGATGCTGCTGGTCCTGCTGTGTACCACTGTCCAAGTGAAAAAAACACCATGAAGAATAACAGTTCCAGGATTATGAGGTTGGTAATGTGGTGAATAATCTCCCTCCCAATTTCACTAATGATCTACCCTGCCCCCAATGTCTGTGGTACACAGTGCCCAGAGGCGGCCACATCTACCAGAGGTCTTCCTGCCCTTTGGTGGTTTGGAACTGACTCCAAACATTACTGCCAAGTGATAAGTCAGTGGGCTTTCTGCCTGCCTGTCCCATCCCAGTCTTGGGAGATCTATTTCCCTTTGTTCTAGGTCATGTCAGGGTGTCAAAAGCTGCAGCTTCAATCCCGAGTATAATACAAGTTTGCCATAAAAATACAACAGAGGATTCCCGAAGCCACAGAATGAAGGCTTTTACAATATCAATTCAACCCTTGTAAATTTAATCCAGGGTTATTTGTTGCACCAAAATCTCTTTACCGTGATGTATTACTTAGTTACTGGGGTTATCACAGCCGTATCCTAAAGTTGCATAGTACATAAAACATTTCAGTTAACAATGCAGGAAGGTTAACTCCCCCAGATAACCTGCAATCACAAGGGCTAGTCCAGATGACATGCCTCTGTCAGCTTCCACGAGCTATTGATGGTTCAATCAGTTTGTTTTGAAGGTAAAGTACAACAAAAGGGCAGTAAACTTATTCAGACTGTCAACAGGGGCTATCGGGAATGGGGCTTGCAGGTAAGTAATTCTGGGTGTTTTAAGGCTATTATCAAACAGCAATGGTTGAAGGAAGAGACAGCTACTAATAACACAGAAGGCAGCCATCATAAACCACTTTATGGCAGAAACCCCCGTCTATAAATCCTGCGACACCCGGAGACAGCTTCAGATTTATAAAACTGCTTGTTAAGCCAGGGCACTGCTTAATGAAAAGAGATCGGTCTAAGTTCTGAGTTTCACATCCCTAGCTCCAGAGGACAACTCCAATTTTCCTGACCTTCCCAAGGTGGCTAGGCGAAAGCCATGGGGTGGGGGGCTGGAAGTCAGGGGCACTCTTGACCGTGATATGGAAGGTGAGGTTATCGAGAAGAGATCAGGGATCCTGGGAAGGTGTGTAAAGACCCATCTGTCTCCGTCTAAAGGCAGATTCTCTAAAAGTGAGACCCACACAGAAAGCTTTTCAGGCTCTCTCTCTTTTCATATTAAATGCTCCATTTTCTTAAAGGACTCCTCAAAGGAGACACCTGAAACTGGCAGGGGGAGAAAAGGAAGAGCAGAAAGACTTTGGTGTGTGTTTGTTTTTTGCTCCCAAATCAATTTTCTCTGCCCAAATCCCAAAGCTCTGGCATTTTTCATCTAGACTTCAAAGGGAGAGAAGGGTGCTCTGTCCTCCTGCTCAAACTGCTACCCCAGGGGAAGCTAGCTGTTCCAGTAACAGCACAATCACAGAAACACCAAGACAGATCTCCATTGCCTGCTCCTGGGATTGTTTCTTTCTCTGAAGAGATTCTACTAAAGAAATACCAAGTTTCCAAATCCTAAGGAAATCAGAGTACAAGGTCACCTGGAGTTTTTCCCTACTTCTTTCCATTTATGGCAATATGGAATGGCCATTCTTCCCCTTATTTCTTGCAGGCACTCCGATGCACGGGGGTGGGGTGGGGGAGACACAGTGCAAGCGACTGATGCCCTACTAGGGGCCCCTGAAGTCAGCAATGGGTGACCCAGGAATCGTTCTCGGTCTTCCACAAAGCTTAACAGAAGAGTGAGCA